TGTTTTTAATGTGTTTGTGTGATTATGGAGAGAGAGAGAGAGAGAGAGAGAGAGAGAGAGAGAGAGAGAGAGAGAGAGAGAGAGAGAGGGAGAGAGAAAACACAATCAGATATGTTTAAGATCAGTTTTTAAAAAGTCCTTGGTTAATTTACCAATATAATGTGTTGTTTTATCTTGAGTTGATAAAAGAGAATTCATGTAACACATTCATATAATAATAACAACAATAATAATCATTTATTATTATTTAAATATGACCTTCTTCAATTGATATAGCATTTCCTATTTTATCAAAACCCCTTATAAGTGATGTATAAATGTAAGACTGAGAGGGGAGGGTTGATGAAATAAAATTCTCATTAAACAGGTGAAACAGCTGGAGGGTTCTGATATTACATCTTCTTAAGAGAAATAACACTTCCTGTTTCCAGTTGGAAGCAATGGCACCTTCTGTGTGCAGCCAATGTAATACTACAGTAACGTACCTTGAGCTTTCTGACAGCATCTTTCACCACCTCCGTACCTTTGGGTTGATCAACTTCTGTATGCCCCAGAAACTGTGGGAAAAACATGAAAATCATATGATGTGGAACTTTTTTTTTTTTTTTTTATAAATATTTGAAAATAAAATAAATCAAATCAAGTCTAAGGTCTGTCAATTATTAAGGAAAGCATTTAAAGACATTGACCACAAATCAAGCCACATATATGCTTCCGTTTATTGTACAAACACTCTTTTATTGTGAAATACAAACAGAGAATTTTTAAAGAACGTGCTCTTTTTGCATATAACATTTATAGTGACTTTAGTGATCAAGCTACAAAATAAATCAATAAATAAATTGGGGAGAGTGGGGTGAGTTGAGCCAGTTTTTACTTATGCCGTGTTTAAAGTGAGCACATGACAGTAATGGGTCCAACTTAAATATGTACATAAATTTCAGGATGTTGTGCATCCTTGGGAATAATCAATTTGGGTCTAAAATAAACTGCTTTCAAAATAGGCTTTCCAAAAAAAGTGGTCTCTTGGCTCAACTTGCCCCCAGTGAGGGGTAAATTGAGCCTAGGGAGAGGGTAAGTTGAGCCTCATGGAGTTAAACTGTGCCACTGATTATGCTGAAGTAAACTGAACATTTTCACCTCATGCTATATCAGAGGAAGAGAAATTCAATAAAAATGACTTCTTAAAATCTATGTGTGAGCCTTGTGATGGACTGGTCGTTCATCTAGGGAGTTTCCTCATCTGTGGCTCAAGACGCTGGCTTAGGATCCAGCTCCCCACGACCCTAATAAGGACATGTAGGTTTGGATAATAGAATGGATGGATGGATGCTGTCTTAAAAGTTTTATTTAAAGGTATAGTTCACAACTCTGAAGACGTTTTTTTAAATTATTAAAACATTTCAGAACAAAAAGTTCAAATTGAAAAATTTTAATAATTAAAAAAAAAATAAAAACAGACTGCAATTGACCTTCCAGAAATGGGCTAATAGTACTCAACATCCCACTTATATGTTGCAGGGAAATACAATATCATAAAAACTTCAGAGACCAAATTTTAATAAGGCCTATTTAAAATTTTACAGAACAAAATCAAGTTCAAACAAAGAACAAAATTATATATGGTGTAAAATTAATGAAATATAATGTAGAATTAAAGTAAACTAGCTCAACTTACCCCATTCCGGTTAATAGTACTCAACATCCCACTTATATGTTGCAGGGAAATACAATATCATAAAAACTTCAGTGGCCAATTTTCATAAGGCCTATTTAAAATTTTACAGAACAAAATCAAGTTCAAACAAAGAACAAAATTATATATGGTGTAAAATTAATGAAATATAATGTAGAATTAAAGTAAACTAGCTCAACTTACCCCATTCCTACCACTTTAACAAACTTGTATCATCCAGCAGTTTAGAGCTAACATCATGCTAACAGTATAGCCTCATATTATAACCTCCTAAAGCACAAATACATGTGTGATAGTTTCTTCAGATTTGTCTGTAATTGTTCAGACACAAGAAGCATGAGTCCTTGAACATACTTTGAACAGCAAAAAAACCCCCAAAAATATTTTTGAACCTAAATGTAGTTACCAATTATTACATGGGCCCATCTCCACCTCAGGGTGCGTAAAATACTTAAATATTCAAATATGTGTGGTCATATCACCAATTGTGTTTAAGGTTGTCTAGAAACAAGGGGTGGCTCAACTTCCCCGCAGGCTCAAATCACCCTGCTCTCCCCTAAATAAATAAATAAATAAATAATAAAATAAAAAAACATCATCAAAAGTCCATTAGATAAAATTTCCATTTTTATTGTGCGCTCAATTATAATGTTAATTTCATTATAAGGCTTTGATGATTGCTAAGAACATTCTCCACATTTAATCTGGAACAAATTTGGGCATAACATTTTTATAAAAAGAAAATCAACATGAACATGAACATGAACAACACTACATTTAGCATCCAACAGATGGAGCTATTAACCTTTGCCCAGTCCTTGTGGTCAAGCATCTGTCTAGACGCTGTGCAAGCTGACGGTTCTTAAAAGACCTTGCCATTATTTCTCTAGTCTAATGGCTACTCTACTGAAATGAATAAATGAACAAAAACTTGACAGTAACCACAAAGACTCCCAAACTATACTTGTGTGATTTTATGGTCTGACCCATTTTCACTCGTCACATAAACATTTCTTATTTTCATGTTACTCTCAGATACGGCTATAAACAGAATCTTTATAAGGTCCCACTACCTTTCAAAATGATAATTTCTGGAACTCAGCCATTACAGCTGGTCTGCCGTTTTCCAAGAATGCATTGAAAGTAATTGATTTATGATTAGACTTAATCATTATACAGAAAGCTTACACAAACATTTTTTCTATTTTCTATTTATTTATTTTTTTTAAATCAGAGAAACTCTTCTGGGGCACAATAACTGCATTGTCTTCCAAACTGGAGTTAAACAAATAAGACTCCATAAACATGTCTGCAGCACGTAGTTATGATGGATGCCATCCACACTCAAGGGCAAGTGAGCACGGTAGGACAGAAAGTGAAGCAGGAGTGATAGATACACTACATTACACTGGGTGGAGAGTCTCTTGTTCCTGATGACTGTTCCCTGCCGGTCTATTTGAAGGTGTTTTTTTGCCAAAGACATACAGTCTTTACTAATCTACCACCTGCTACACTGGCAGAATATATTTTTTCCCCCTCTTTAACTCACTTTCTTTGTCTATTCTCATTTCCAAAGGCAGACAACAAAGCTGAAACTTTGGCAGCTCTGAGAATCAAAACTGTTTTTGTTTTTGTGAAGAATTCAGTAAGACATCTTAGAAGCACTGCTCGGGAGTAGACAGCTTCTCAGCCCTGAACATAAGATGAGTCTTTGGTGAAAGGGAGCGTAAAACCGCACTGACAGTGTATATGAGATGTTCTTGCCCACAAGATGTTTGATGAATAGTAAAAGAGACACAAACAAATTCATTGTTTTGCGAAAAGACTGTGCAAAAAGAAGAAAAAAAGACTTAGATAGAAAATTGTCATAGCATTTGCATTGATCCATCCATTTAAGCTGTCTCTGTTTAGACCTCTGGATATTTGTTGTTGTGTGTTTAAAAAAAAAAAGAAGTACAGTTGTTGTATTTATGCCAACAAGCATTAAAGTCAACATGAAATCAAAATTGACCCAATTTTCTTTCTTTATCCCATTCTTGTTTTTTTTCTGCAAGATGCAGTGTTATTTCCAATAAAGTCAAGCTATTTATTCTCATACTACAATAGTTTTTTTGTACTCCATTAGGCTGGTTCATTAAATATATTACATTTATATATAAATTCAATAAATATAAGTAAATTATTTAACAAAATTAAAAGAGACATACACTGCCATTCAAAAGTCTGAAATAAGTAACTGTAAAGACAGCAAAAATGTTACAACATATTTATATTTCAAATAAATGCTGTTCCTTTGAATTTTGTATACATCAAAGAAAAAATAATAAGATATACTAAAAACATATATACTAATATTTCACAATATTACTGTTTTCACTGTATTTTTTATCAATGAAACGCAGCCTTATAAATTTATAAGTCGTGGCCTAATGGTTAGAGAGTCGGACTCGTAACCCAAAGGTTGCAGGTTCGATTTTAATTATATTTTGCTAAAATGAACGAAATGACTCAAAAAGATTCGTTCATTTTGCTGAACGAGACTCAAAGGTCCGAGTCGGTCAAATGATCCGAACTTCCCGTCACTACCCCCAACTGCTCCCCGGGCGCTGCAGCATAAATGGCTGCCCACTGCACCGGGTGTGTGTTCACTGCTGTGTGTGTGCACTTTGGATGGGTAAATGCAGAGCACTAATTCCTAGTATGGGTCACCATACTTGGCCACATGTCACGTCACTTTCACTTTATTTTAAAAACTTAAAAAATCTTACAGACCTAAAACTTCAGAATAAGAGTCTAAGTGTACAAAGGTAGTAAAATGATACAAAAACACAAATTATACAAAAGATCAGCAAAACAGTGAATCTTAAGAGAAAAATATTTAGAGAAAAAAAGAGGTTCATAACACATACCTTGACATTGTATGCTATAAAATGCTTGGCCAGTGCTTCTGGAGTGTGCATCCATGATTTATCTAGAAAGAGACAGAACACTATTAATGTAATACGGTTCTTTATGAAGTACGCAATATCTTAATGATATCCTTAATGTTTTAGACAAACAGTATATAAATAAGTAGTCCTTTAAATCAGCTGCTGTTCAAACCTCTTAGCAGCAAAAACTCTAGAGCAAATGTGTATAAACAACAAACCAATTATTATAAATGAGTATTCATTAATCAACTGCTGTTCAGACCACTTAGCAATAAAAGTGTTTTAACAACAAACCATATGATAATAAATAATTATTCTTTTTCCTTTACAGTAGTTAAGTAACTGTTAAATCAAGTAATTTTCAAAGATTGCCAAATATGTACAGCCAAATGTCTGTGTACAAGAAGGATTTCAGCTAAAGCTGCAGTGTAGATCAAACTGGCTTGTCAGAAGGTGAATTACTGAGATTGGCTTCAAAGGAGTGCAGACGGGGTCAAATGTGACAGACAGGAGACACCACCGTGCCTGTGCTGTTGTGACAGCTTAGAGGAAACTGCAAGGCCTAACTGTGACAAACAAGCCACAGGAGTCACAAGATTCAGCGCGCCTGCCGATTTGTCAGTATTAATACCCTGAGTTCATTAACAGAGTTAGCCACACCATCGCATGCCCAAAATCGCTTCCCATTCCCTATATAATACGTATCAGGTGTTTGGCAATGCACATTTCCAACATTTATAACTCTTTACACTTTTCTTTTTCCCCCCAATTCTTCCTTTAAAATTTGCTTTAATGTCTTACAATTGAGAGGATGCCATACAGCCATTTATAGGGAAACAACGACTAATCAATCTCCCATTTAGTCAAGTATATCTCAAGCAGATCGAAACAAAAGACCCTTGAGGACTCAGAACCTCTTCTGGTATTTCAAGACAGCAATGATCAATTTGAATGAGCAGTTAATTGTAAATATTCAGAAAAAGAAAAAACTGAAATATGGATGACTCTTAGATAAACGGTCATTTTTGAGGCATTCAGAGCAATTAGGGTTTAAAGGGGTCATATGATGCGATTTCAAGTTTTCCTTTCTCTTTGGAGTGTTACAAGCTGTTCGTGAATAGATAAGATCCCTGAAGTTGCAAAGACTAAAGTCTCAAACCCAAAGAGATATTCTTTATAAAAGTTAAGACTGGTTCACGCCCTCATAAAACGCCTCGTTTAAACACGCCCCCACACGTCTACGTCACGATGTGGGAAGATTTGCATAACGCCACCCAAATGTTCACGCAAAGAAAGGCGGCGTAACTTTATTGTTGCTGCCGCCGCCATGTTGTGAAGATGCTGTGTGTTTCGTGGCGAAAGCGAAAATACTTTACATTTTATTACACCAAATACACAAAATAATGTTCTTTTTAGCAACATCATAAGACCCCTTTAAACTGGTGCGTTATAGATATAACATGTCATCGTACATTAACTTTAAAGATAATTATAAAGATTCAATCCAAGCTGTATATTCTGATCTCATATTTATCCTCATGAATCCATTGCTTATTGAAAATCTGCCAGTTATTCTTCTTCCACAGACTGTCAGGATACAGTGTTTTCCCGCTTAGATTCCTCATAAAGTGGGTGTGATTCATAGGTCAAATGAAGAGCGCACACCTCAAAATGTCACAGTGTTTTTGTGTACATCTTTGTGTAGGAAGGGTAGGTGTTTCATAGAGTTCACTGTGATGCCGAAGCTGATGACAAAGTGTCTGGAGAAATGCATTGCTTATTATACAGTGTTTTCAGAATAGAAACCAATATAAATGGAGAACGGATGACAAAGAGGAAAATCTGTCAAAAGGTCATAGCATAAGCAAAAGTGGTTTGTGGTGCCATCAAAGCATTTCTCTGCATATCTGATCATCTTGACTATCTGTTTGTCTGACTATTAGCATTTAATTAGATGCGTCAATAGAGTGTTTTGCATTTAATTTAATGAATAGGAAGAGCAGCCAAATATTGATGATGTTTCCCAAACTAATATCTAATGATCAACAATGACAAATCAGAACATCTTGGCATATTCTTAGCAGGTTTTCTCTGCAAGGGCTTCAGAAGAGCATAAGAGCCTTGGTAGTCTCTGCATCTAATTTTAAAGCTCACTGCTTTGATTCTTGGAGCTCTTAATGGCAATAAGACAACGTTATAGCAGAAATAAGACAGGAATCATCTATTACAATAGTAATGCTTCTATACGCCACTACAACAAATAGTAAAGAAATGCCCTTGGAACTAAGCTTCTGTATTGTATTTCAATTGAAATAGATTAAGTGTTGAACGCACATTTTAATACATGGTCTGGGCAAGGTCTGTGCATACTGGTCTTGTAAGCACATGGACAGTTTTTCATTAAAGAAAGATTATGTTTTTTCCATAATCGCAGGGTATTTCTGTCATCTCCCGCTATGCACTAAAAAAAGCCTGAAGGTATTAGTAATGCCACAATGACATATTCAGAAATTTCTTAAAGCGTTTTGTGATAAATAAATAAGACAGAGAGAAAGAAAAACATGGCACAACAACTACTGTAATGTAAGTAATTAGGTAGTGGAACTGTGTATAATTTAGCTAAGGTTATTTACAGGATACTGGGAATATTAGATTGTCACTAATTAACCAGCCACTCTCACCAAATGCAATCATTTCTGAGCTTAAAGGCATAAAAAAATGAAAGAAAAAATTAAAAATGAAAAAAAAAAAAACAAAGAAAGAAAAATGCACAAATCACATCAGAGATTATGCTAAATCATTACTCAAAGTTTCTCGACTGAGAAATCTTTTGTACTGTTGAGGCTATTCAAGCTGATCATTTTTGGGTTCAAACTTGATTTTATTACGCTCTAAATAACAGACACTGTTGCTATTTCATGTTCTGTGTCTGGTAATTGGATGCATAAGTCTGGAAAGAATCTGGTTCCAATTATTTCTTTGTCATCACACAAACAGCATTTCTGCCTTCGGCTTTGTAGATTACCAACCATTTAATTCAGAAACTAAAAGTCTATAAAAGTAGAGTATGTGAACAGTAATTTATATTTCATTCTTCTATATATCAGCCATTTACCCTGAAGAATCAAAACATTATTTTGACAGCCTGACATAGCTAGCATATATTATTTTACAAACGTACAGTTTATACGACAGCCTTTTTTGTTCAATAGCTGACCATCAATCCATCCAAGGCCTATAACATCTTGATAAACTTTCAGATCGTAGTTGAATTTATTAGGCTGAGTTTTATGAGACAAATGATCATCCATTAACTCTGAAAAAGAAAAATAATTAATGACCATATAATAAACAAAGAGATACATATTTACGCTACCTTACTGACCAATGACAAATCACACATCTAATTGCAATGCAAGATTGCATTAGTCAGACTTCATTAGACAGAAACCTCTCTGTGAATCTTCTGTAACGTCACATCACCACTCTCACCAGACACTGCTGCTAATGAATGCATGGCCATAAAATGATTACTAACTCTCTCTGGTAAATGTCGCTATTGTTCATAAGTGGCTTGGATAGACCTTTTTGTGTTAGTTGGAGAATTTAATGCTTTCCTTCAGACAGATGGGTTATTGGCGCTCTCCACGGTCCAACAGCACTGTCCTGTGCACCAGAAAGGAGGCAATTGTGACAGCAGGAACATCCACAAGGCAGTGGAGGGAAATGTGTTGTGGCCGCAAGAGCTTTGCTCTTTTCAGTGCCAAAATAATTACTTTGTTATGCCTAACCTCTTCATGAAATCAGATTACAACTTGTTCTGGGTAAATGAGCAAATTCTAAATGAATTTGCAATGTAGTACACTAGAGATGCATTATACAATGATGAACTGGTTTGTTTACATATTGCAATGAAAAACAAAAATTCAACAATCTTGGTTTTTAACGATGTCCTGGTATTTCAAGTTTTTAATATTGGAGATAACAGCTCATGAAAACATTAGACAAGCTAAAAATACAGTAGTCAGTAACAGCAGAGTGTATTGGTACTTGAAAAATGGTACTCTGCATACTTACAATATAATGTCTTATTCATATAAAAAAACAGATGTATTACATTCACCTGAGAATATATTTGTAAGCATCATCATTTGCCATTCTGAGGGATTCAGCACTGGACACTACTTGTGATTATAATCTATATCTTCAAAGCAAGCCAGACAGGCCAACAGGAGCTCCTAACACAGAAATATTACTAGTGCATTCCCTGCCATCTGGGATCTAAGACTGGCCAGTAGGGCTTATCACATCAAAGATCCATTAATTCATTTTGGAAAGAAGGGTGGGACAGGTGGTTGTAAATACATAGAGAAAAAAAAAACAGACCTCTGGAGGCAGACAGGTTGTCTGCTCCAAGCCACTGAGAAATGACAGAAAGGGAGGAGAGACTATAGGTGAGGAAAAAAGAGAGGTAGAGATAGACAGAGATACAGGCAGACAGATAAGAGTATGAAAAGGGAGAGTCTGAACAATAGAGTTTTATAAGGGTTTCTGTTAGGACTGTCAATTTTAACATATACAGTATGCATATATATATATATATATATATATATATATATATGCAAATAATAATTACTATTAATTAAACAATACCATTAAAACTATTACATTTGAAAAATCGTTTGATGGCCCTATAGGTTCTGAGCTGGATGGACATGCAGAGGAGAGAGAGGAAAGCAAGACAAAAACTGGTACAACCCACATACCTTTTTTTCTGTTAAATGCCCGGTTCATGCTTGAAAATGCTCCGTCTTAGCTGCGATTTCCTGGAATGTGCCACCTCTACCTGGTGGGATGAGAAAGTATATGGAAATTTAATCCACGGAGTCTGAGAAATAGGAATACATGTTTCAAAAACAAAATCCTGTGAATCTGCCCCTAAGGTTAAGTCTCCTATGGTGTGTTATTGCACAAAAATGTTACTAGGTTAAAAGTTATTGGGTTCACAAGAAATAAAAAGCAAATATCTCTGAACAAAAAAGAAAAAAAGAATTGGGGGGATAAACTAAAAGCACTACAGCATGTAGGAGGGTTATTAGTCAAAACTATAAATATGCCCTTCATGGTTCAAATATTTCAAAAATTTAGACTGCGACTGTGTTAAATGAAAGGTGCTATAATATATATATATATATATATATATATATGCAAAAGCCTAAGGCCACTAGAAAAAAAGGGGTTTTTTTTCACAAAAAAAGGTTTTAAGTCAGTTATTTCTATCTTTTGCTGTAGTCTGTCAGTAGGAAATATCAGTTTAATTTCCAAACATTCCTTTTGCCATTGATTGAAATAATCCAGTGAGATTTTTGTATGCACAAGGAATCTGACAGCAGCCAGTGCTCCACACAGAGATCTGATCTCAGCATCATCCAGTGTATCTGGAATGACATGAAGAATCACAAAAAACGGAGACAGACTAAATCCAGAAGAACTGTGGAAAATCTATTTATAACATTATTTTTGAAAGCATCCTTACTTTACAGCATTTTAACACAAGTGCCAAAAACTTTTCACAGTAGCCTACTGTCTGTAGCTTTGCAGGTAGGTTTCTTCAAGCATCTTGGAGAGAAAAAATATCTATCTATCTATCTGTCTATCTATCTATCTATCTATCTATCTATCTATCTATGTCTGTCTGTCTGTCTGTCTGTCTTTTTTAATAATAAGCTTAAAATGACTGAAATTGTTTACGATTGAATGAAAATAAAATTGGACTTGCATGGCTTTTAGCCCATGTCTTTGAGACCATCTATACCATGTACACCTGAACATCAACAAAATAAACATTTTAACATGTATATGGATTTTTTCCCAGTGAAATATGATCTAAAATGAGAATCTCTCTTTTTCCGCAATGACACACATGTGAAACTGAAGCCTACTGGCTATTGAAAAAAGACAGGGAAGAGCTGTATGTACCACTCAAAACATCCTGCTTCAATGGGAAAAACAACGTGAACTGACAGAAAATGATGCTCATTTCGTTGGCACTACAGGAAAAAAAAAAAAGAGATGTCCTGTAGAATTTCTTTTCACTGCATGCTATCCTAAGCTTCTCCCTCTCAGGCATGGTCAAACATCAGGAGATAAGCTTAGCCAATGACTTATACAGGCTATGAAACAAACTAATCAAATGTTAAGCCCAATGGGCAGACATATTACAATGTTATTGTTGGATGGATGGATGCTGAAAGAAGAGATTGCAAGACCTCCTCAAGGGGTCCATGTGCACATTACTGATTTCCCTGATGCAGGAAAGACAAAAGATTTTCATAGAGACTCTTCAGACAAATGTGTCTTTAACCTCAGTGACTTCAAACTCATTACTCCCACTGCCTATCTTGTTAATTTGAACATGATACAGGACAACTTTGCTGGGTATGTTTATCATTGACTTCCTGAATTTGTTGTGTAGAGCTAATCATGTTCATGGTAAAATGCATGGAGACAATGAGAACAATGCAGTTTTAATGCTGTACATAACTTAAAGCATTTTATATTCTTGTTAAGAATAACTGAGCAGCTTTCATGCCAGTACAATTATTGTTAAATGTTCACGGTAAATACTGTACGATGTGCACTTTTTTCCCTCTCCTCTCAAACATCATGGCCATGATAGTAATGAAAGAAAAACTGAAAAACTGATTGTGTGCTGTCTTGAGAGGAAATGCTAAGTTCCATTTAGACCCTATAGTATGAAATGCTATTACGATATAACCAATAATGTTTTAAACAAAAAGTCCTTTGAGTTGATGAGTAATGAGTTTAAAGTCCTTTCACACAACGTCGTGCAAAATATGCAATGTAAGGAGAGATGCCTATGATTTTTACAGTGTGTCTTCATGTGAAGGGTGTGGTGCTTTACTGGAGTTATTATAGCATTATATTAAATTATAGCATTTTGGGAAGACAAGGCACACAATAATGTAATTTAAGGCTTCATGACAAAACAATGCATTCATGTTTTCTTTAAAGGTGACATACCATGAAAATCTGACTTTTCCAGGATCTAAGTGCTATAATCAGGTCCCTGGTGCATCTACCAACCAAGGAAACGTGAAAAAGGTTAACCCTGTAACTTTGTTTTGGGAAGCCTTTTTCTGCAAGCGTCTGAGAAACCGAGCGCGTCTGATTTCACTCCCTTGGTGACGTGGCAAAGGGATCTCATTATAATATTACCGCCCCTTAATCTGTAAGTTTCCACCCACGGCACCGTCATTGTGTTTTCACAAGCGACAACGGTGTACTAGTTCTAATGCCATGGCGAAGGTTTGAGCAAAACATGCCAAATGTTCTGTCTTTGGCTGCACAGATGAGCACAGAACACTATTTACAGTCCCAGCCTCAGAGGAGACAAGCAAGCAGTGGATTTATTGATTTATTTACTGTTGCTGCTGCCACACAGATCTAAAATAAACATGCAATTTATTTCCCAGTTGTTTACCTTCACAGACATAACCGACTGTTTTTTGTAACTCGTGTGTTTTTAATGTAAACTTGTGTGTGAATGAGTACTTAGTTTAGTACTCGCATGCTGTGACAGCCACTTTCTGTGCGCGTGCTTCGGATGTGTGCTCTCAGAAAACCGTATATCAGAAGTTTAAACTCGTATGATTTAAAACGCATGATTTCAGCGCGATAAACATGATAATCAGAACCAAAACAGATGGGTTTTTTTTAATCAGGTACCGTTGTAATGGCGCAACTCTATTCTGGAAAAGGGGGCGTGGAGCAGCAGCTCATTTAAAGAGACAGGCCCGAAAAACAGCGTGTTTCTGCTTCCACTCAAAATAGGCATTTTCAAAATGATATAATAAATGATCTGTGGAGTATTTTGAGCTGAAACTTCACGGACACATTCTGGGAACACCAGAGACTTATATTCCATATTGTAAAAAGGGGCATAATATGTCTCCTTTAAACCTTCAACATATCATTCATCCCATTTTGTACCAGTTATATGATGATGACAATATGCAAGCCACTTACTGGGTTGAACCAATGAGGCATAAATCCGCAATAACGGGTTTTTGTCTTAAGAGAATGGTTTTGTCTATGACAGATGGGCTATAATACATCTGAATTATTGCAAGAGACTTTTGAAAAGCCCTCAGAAAATATGAATATACATATACATCAATATTTTTTTATATATATTTTTAAAAGTTCTTTAGATGTATAAATATTTTTTTAAATATATAAAGTTTATTTAGAAAATATGATAAAAGCATCAAATACATTTTACAAGTACACAGGCACATTTAGGTTTTTTTGGCTCCCAAGAGAGCAAAGCAAACAGGCTTCAACATGACAGACTGCCAATTTTAAAAGCAAAGAGGCTGAACAGGAAGGCAGGCACTTGTATTTTTTTTATTCACAGGCAATTGATCTGTCATAAAGAGCCATGGAGAGTCAAATGTACAAGGACAGTGGACATCACTGACTGAGCAGGTGGAGTCACGAGTATATCGCATCAACCCTGCCAGCAGCCTGAAGAGACAAAGAGCTGGAACAACTTCGAAAGAATTGATAAATCATTCGAAGTTCTGTCACAGTTCAGAAAACTTGTGAAAAAGGGCTGACATATATAAACTGAATCATATTTACAGTCAACATTGCACAGGTTTCCTTACCTAACACATTTGCTCCACAGAAAACCGGCCAAGCCATTTCATTACAACATTCCAAAAATCTGGATACAATACCCACTCTTTCCCAGTTATTCTGCTTAGCAATATTATCAGTTGCCCGGTCACACCTGGGCAAACACCTGGCTGTGCTGTCTGCCTGACTGATAGCAGCTGTGTTTGTTCTCCGTTTATCACTTCCTGGCTGGTCACTCTGTCCCACAGGGGAGACCCTGAGACCTTCCTTTATGCTGAGCTGCAAAGTTCTGCTGATAATATTTAGCATCTTCAAAGAGAACTCCAGCTTATGCATGTCTGAGAGAACCCAAAGCAATTTATAACTGTTGGGTGGAGAAGCTAAAGTCCTCCAGATTTGAGAACTGAGATTGCCTGGGTCCTTTTTGCTGGAGTTAAAGTACAAATAAAGTTGCAAATAGCAGATCCAAGTGCAATTTGTCTTTCAACTAAAAATCTCACAAAAATTCATATTCTAAAACAATAACTGCTGTCTAAGGCCTTCTGGACTACAATGTTCTGAAGTCTATCAAATACAGACCAGGCAGACAACTTGATTTGCAAATCATGTTTTCAAAAAATGTAATATGTTAGAAAAACGTTATATGCAGAAACAAATGTGGGTATAAGAGACATCTAAAACATGAGACAAATCCCTGAATATAAAACACATGTTTCCATGACGTCTCATGAAATATAAAAATCAAAATGTTTTTTTTTTTGCTTTGTAGTAGCACCAATATTCCATCTCACAACTTTTGAGTTTAGGCTGACATTTAGGCCTTTCTACCATTTACAGTTTGTTCTGCACATTCCATTTTAGGGGAGAAAAAACAATAATAATTATGACAATAATTTCTGAACTTCATGCTTGGAAGCCTAAAAATGGCATCAGAGAAGACCAAAAAAACATGTTCTCATGTACTTTATGCATGCTTTAACATGCACTTTACATATGCAATTCTTAAGGGTATTCTTAAGAATACAAACAAAATATCTCTCACATTCATTGAAAACAGAAGCTACAACAGGATCAGTTATTGAAGAAAAGAAAAAAGTAAAAAAAAAAAAAAGACTAATACTGATATGACTTAGGAAATGGTCATTTTTTAAAATGTTGTAGTCAACTATCAAAAAACTTTATTAAATAATTTTGATGAAGTTTAAAAATCCAAAAATTTCCAAACACTCAAAAAGCATGCAGCAGCTCGGGATGAACAGGAAAATATAAACATCCACAGTCCAAAAAAAAAAGGTTAAGGCCGTTCAAAGCAGAGGAACATTCCACTGATATGATCCATCTCTGAGTCAACACTGCCAGCATTTACAACAAAACTATGCTTTCACCACCACAACTGCACTGAGAAACACAGAATTAAATAAAAATATCCTTTGTTTCCAACAGAACCCTATTCACTGAGCTCAAATAGCAACCATTCTAAAACAACGATTGTTAATTCAACCCTCTGGATTCCTTACATGGATCAGTTGTTATTCTCCGCTGAGCTCAGAGCCATACTCCAAACACTCCAGTCCTTTCTGTCAGACCTCTCCACATAAAAAGGCCAACATTCTTACCAATAATGAGAGGAGATTTCCAAAGCACCAGCCAGTGTCTTCTGGCAAAGATGAACCGAATGAGAAAACCAGTGGAGAGCGCCTTTAGACGAAAGCGAAAAGATGGGTGAAATGTAGAGCCGGGCGACTTATTTGCTTTCACACAAGCTGGGATACTAAGGAGGAAGTTCCAGCAGTGCTTAATAGTTTTCAGCTGTTGGCCAGATGGGGTTATGTGAAGTAAGAGGGGCGGCGGGTTTGCAAGCAAAACTAGGTGTCTGATGAGTGTGAAAGAACTTCTTGAAAGAAAGAACAAGAGAAAGGAGACAGGAAGAGAGAATGACAGAAATAAGTAGTGCTGTGCAGAGGAAAATATTTTAGATTTATATCTCTGGAAAACATGGTTCCGATTGGCCAATCACAGTTTTAACAGTCAAATATCTCTATAATGATCGCTAAAACTGTACATTTGACCACTGTTCATAGCAACATACTAGTGCTTTCATTTCATTTAGATTTTTTTTTTCAACATTAGAATACACAATTGGCACTATTTTGCAACTCAAAACGTAATAACAGTAATAAAAGAGGGTTTAGGCTATTTTGCCTTGCTAACGCTGACCAAGGCTGCAAGATGCATGTTTTAAATAATAGTAATTTTTTTATTAACTTAACTTCTTCCAAAAAGAAGTATCAGTGTTAGCAGGGCATCGGTTTGAGTAATTCACACTGAAAACTTGCTGAACACATAAAAACAAAAATTTCCACCACAGAAAAAAAAAAAAAAACACTAACCACAAAAATTCTGGTTCATACTTCATCCACAGAGCAACTTGAGTGCAAGACAGTAGACTTTGGCAGCTAACAGTAATACACTCACTGAAATCTGACCTATGCCTTATTCATCATGTCACAACCGTTACAGATGACCAAGACACTATACAGACAGCAGACATGGAAATGAACAGCTCATATAAATGGTGAAAAGTACAGCCATTCTCTCTTCACATCTTCAAGAAATAGAGAGGGGTGGGGCGGTGTTAGTCTTGGCATCAGCAGGTCTGAGAATATTTTTAAGGATTCCTTTCCTTTAATATGATAAAATTTGTTTTCCTTTCCATCCTCTCGCCCCCTCCTCCTTGAGTGGACAGATGTGGGGAGGGGAAAGTAATGCGTTTAAGACTTTGGCATTTTCCATTTTGTGAGGTAAAAGTACTTATTCTGTGGTTTGGACCATATGTTTTAAGAAGTGCAGAAGTAGTCATAATCTTAAAAGCACCAGGTCGACATTAGCAAGAAATGTTGACAATTAAATGTTGCTCTTTAAGAAATCTGATAACACTTTCAGATTGGCAAAGAAAAAACAACAAACATAAGCAAAACCAACAATGTTACCTTAAACTACTAATAATGAATACAGAAACACACAAATGTGATACAAAATGGTCAACTGTTAATTTCGGCGAATCAATTCCAAACCCTTACTCAACCATTAATATGTGCTACCATTAAAAAACATTCACAACAGTGTGGGTTTGCACATTCCAGACAAACTGTCTTTATAAGTGAGTCAATTAATTATTAACCGATTCATTCAAAAACACTGATTTATTAAGGGACAAAACAAGTGACTGGCTTTATGAGTGAGTCAGTGAATCATTCACTCAGCCGATTCACTCAATCATTCACTCAAAACACAGAATCACTTAGTGTTACTTGGAAATCTGAAACTCTATGCCTTTGTTTGAAATGGTTTTTATTAGTGGAGCAAACTGGTAATATTGTTTAAAATGCAAGTTATTTTGTATAAAATATAAAAAGATATACAGATATTGAGATACATTTTTACATGAATTGCCCAATCCTACCAACTCAAATGTGAAACTGAGAGACTGAGAGAGTTTATGTATGCAGATACATTGACTCAGTGACTTGCAGAAGATGAAAGGAAACAGAGTAGGTGAGGAGATCTTGGCTGGGAGAAAGAGGAGCACAGTCTTGTTAAGGTTTGGAAGCTAGCTGAAGTAAAAGTCTTTGCATTTCTATTTTTGCTGCACCCCAGTCTTCCTTTGCCAAGAACGTACTTGTATCTGTATCTGTATCATGGCACTAAAAACGTATTGAAAAAGCATCTCCGTTCCAAAATTCCTAGTGAGCTGCCTAAGTAGGGAGCATTTTAAGGCATCACTGACAAGCTCTCAACTTGTTTTTGGTAGTATTGGTTTACTAGTTTCCCACTTGCCTGCTTATTTTTAACAGCAAAATAATTTGAGCACTATTTGCTGCCTAAAGCATTTCAAATCAGCCACTTGTGAGGTTAAAGTGGTTTTCTTCATAAATTGTGATAAACCGGCCTTGATGAGCTATAATTACAGAAGAACTCTTCAAGACATACCATACCATCAACTAATAGAACAACACCAAGGTCGAGCAACAGAGCATTTTTCAATAGATCAGCTGTCAACTTTTAGCCAATGTTTTGAATGTATTTTATTGCAGGTTTGAAAAGCCTGGTCTCACACCCCACACCCGCTCTGACCATCTTACAACACAGCCACCAACACCCTCCCCTCCCTCCCCCCAACTGCTTCTCAGCCTGCACTTAAGATCTGTGAAGATGATGTATGCAAAGTCTTCAGGAAACATAAGATAAGGAAAGCCAAAGGCCGAGACAATGTCTCTCCAGCCTGCCTCAAAGCATGTGCTGTCCTGCTGTCATCCATCTTCACACTGATCTTCAACGGATCACTGGAGCTGTGTAAAGTCCCCTCCTGCTTCAAACGCTCCACCATCATCCCTGTAAGAAACCAAAAATCACGGGACTAAATGACTACAGCTCTATTGATTTAACGTCTGCGGTCATGAAGTCATTTGAGAGACTGGTGTTGGCCTACTTGAAGGACATTACTGGACCCTTGCTGGACCCCCTGCAGTTTGCTTACTGAGCAAAAAGGTCTGTGGATGATGCAGTCAATATGGAACTGCACTACATCCTCCAACATCTGGATAAACCAGGGACTTATGCAAGGATCCTGTTTGTGGACTTCAGCTCTGCTTTCAACTCCATCATCCCGGATACCATCCTGTATAAACTGGCCCAGCTCTCTGTACCCACCTCCATCTGTCAGTGGATCACCAGCTTCCTGACAGACAGGCAACAACTAATGAGGCTGGGAAAATTCACACCCGCACCATCAGCACTTGAGCTCCTCAGGGATGTGTGCTCTCCCCACTGCTTTTCTCCCTCTGCACAAATGAATGCACCTCTAAAGACCCCTCTGTTAAACTCCTGAAGTTTGCAGATGACACCACAGTCATCGGTCTTCATCCAGGATGGTGACGAGTCTGCTTACAGACAAGAGGTTGAGCAGCTGGCTGTCTGGTGCAGTCACAACAACCTGGAGCTGAACACACTCAAAACTGTGGAGATGATTGTGGACTTTAGGAGATAGGCCAGAGCTTGTTTTCATACAATAGGTGAATTGAGCAAAGAAATACGGAAGTTCTAAGCGGCCATGCATTATTATAACTTTTCTTTCTCGTTTTCTTGTGATCTCGACATAACGAATTGTTTTCTCGTGATCACGACTTAATTTTCTCGTGATCTCAACATAACAAAAGTTGTTTTCGCATCCTGGACTCATCTGCTTGTCTGTACATAATTATAATTAACTAATAATGTGTTTAATGAGTTTGGTCTTTTAAAAACACTCTCTAAACGCATTAACTAGTTAGGGTATGTGGACCCGGATACGGGTCCAAAGGCCCGTAAAAAATGTGTATGCTTCATAAGCAACGTTAAGCGTTTTACAATACCCCCTTTGAGATGCAAATGATCGACAAATAATAGGCCTACTTATCTTGTATTTCAGCAAATGTTGCTTCACTTAGAAATAACGTGATTTTGTCCAAAGTTAGGCTATGCTACACATTTTATTTGTGTAATTAACTTTAAATGGTCTAACAACAAATTGCATTCACTGCATGCGCAGGTGGAGCACATTCAAAAGAATGCAGAGAAGAAGCCTATTCTAAAAATCTTAAGCTGCTTGGACTCAACTCACTTTATTTTCCTCGTTCGTTTGAAATAAAATTAGGCTATATATAATAATAAATTATAATAATTTGTTTGTGATTTTTATCATTCATGTAGGATATGCTGTGATATCACGTGAGTTACAAGCTTGAGCTTGATGTGTGCGGTTTACAAAGAAATGTAGAAAATATAAAAGATTAGGCCACAACACTGTATAACATCATTGAACTAAATTATATACATATGTAAATCACATTTCTTATTAATATACATTTATTAACGATAAAGATTAAAAATAAGAAAGATGCACATTACAAGCCTACATCGATCATTGTACATGAGAAACTGTGATGAGTCGTGCGTGCAGCAGTAATAACGTAAGATAACAGATACAATTTCAAGCAAAATTCACTGCACTGAGAGGCTTCACTGCACTGAATAAACAGCTTTTTAGAGGAAACGGCTTATCATTTAATGAATCGACAGCCTATCTAATAATCTTCAACATGTTTTACGCTAAACAATACTTTTGGATTGAACTATTTTTTAGAGTTTACCATGAAAAAAATGCAGTTTTATAAGAGAAATCACTGACTTTTTGCGACAGGTGGGATTCAGCTTACGGCACTTCCCATTCATTCCTATGATATCCATAAACGGCGATTGAGTGTCGTACAACTCTGACTGAAATTCAATGATGTCAAGGCTATAATGTGATTGGTTATTAAGGGACACGTGATCCAAGTTAGCCGTTACGCTTTCTCCAATAGTAAGTAATACAGACCCTCTCATCTCCCAATTAGGGATGCAACGATTATAGATTTTGTTGGTACGATTATTGTCTGAGGAATAATCACGGTTTTACGATTATTATGCATTTATTCATTTCCCAACATTACTAATGTATAAAATCACATGAACACTCTTTAGATATTAAAGTGTTATTTATTGCTGGCTTTTGAAACAGAAATAACACAGTAACCAACAATGCAGCACAAAATAATAATAAACAAAAGACAAACAAAAGTCCATCTCTCCCATTGGAATTAAAAAAAGGTGACCTCTGCTCTGTAAACATCCATGACAGTATTTCTCTTTTGAAAATAACAAATGGAAATAGAGCACAAAAGTATTTAATGTTTTCAGTTGGTACATTCTTTACATTTCTTTTGGACCTGGGGTAGAGAATTTGGAAACATGGTGAAAAAAAAAATCTTGTTGGTTTTTACTTAGATAATACTACAACAGGTATAGTAAATAACAAAGTTAATGAAGTAGCCTATTATTAATATACGACTAATATTCACTTTATTTGTACCACAGGGGAAACTGTTACTAATGATGGAAATAAACTAAAATATTATTGTAATCAACTGTCATTCATACGTATTCATTTTAATAATATTTATAATAATTCATATGATTTTACATGTGGCCTGAGAAAATCATGTCTATTATTTTGGTTTGTGAGATCACACATGTACAAAC